TGAGAACTATGCTAAATTTAATGAAGCGTGTTCTTGTCTCCTTGGCGGTTTGAACCCGGTGATTGATACGAAGGAGTATAAGGATACTCTAACCTTATCTAAGTCAATGCGGCCTATGGTAGATGAGTTGCGGCTTAGGTTTAGTGAGTTGCAGCCTGAATTGTTCCATGATCCCCCTACAGAGTCGAGTACTCCTAAGCGGCTTCCATTAATACCTTCCCTTCTAATGTGTATTAAAAATAAACTACCCGACTTACCTATTCCTACCTTTAATGGCCAAAGCGGATCCTATTTGAGCTTCGTCGACCAATTTGATAGTATTGTCGATTCCCAGCCTGACCTTAGCCCTACTAATAAGTTACAGTACCTTGTTGGTGCATTATCGGGTGAGCCTAAACATCTACTATTACATTTACGTATTGAAGCAGAGAATTACCCTATCGCTCGTGATTTGTTAAAGCGGAGATATCATAATACGCGAATACTGGCGGATACATATATAACACAGATCCTTACCTTACCTAACATACCACTTAAATTGAATGGATTACGTGCTTCGTTTCTCAACCCATTGTTAACAGCTTATCGTTGTTTAGAACGCTTAGAGCTACCTGTGACTAGTTGGTCATATATGCTAGTGCACATATGCCTTAATAAGTTGCCCCTGGAGTTAAAGGCTCGTTTTGAGCGGCGTTACGGTGGTGATAGTGATCGACTGCCCCAGTTTGATCAGATCATCACTTTTTTAGAGGATGAGTGCCGCCACTATGATAATGTAGGTGATGCAGCATTAGTAGATTCTGCCCCAACTTCCCGTACGTTTGAACGAAGACCTATATAACTCGTATAACCAGCAATCTAACCGCCCGCGTAGGGCCTACGTTTCCCAGGTACCAGTTTCCAATAAGAAGTGCCATAAATTATGTGTAATAGTGGTTCCCATTATTTACGAGAATGTCCCCAATTTCGACCTGTTGCTGGTAATTTCCCCTTGCCAGTCATAGGGGTATGACTGGCATTTCTCTATCCCAGGTCGTAGAGAAATTTTAAAAAATTGAGGAACTGCCTCAAATTCTCAATCCCAATCCTGAGGAGTTAGAGTGCGAACGTATTTTTAAGAATGGCATCACCCGTGAGAGTGACGGTCGTTTTATTGTCCGACTTCCGTTTATCTCAGATCGTCCCCAGCTAGGTGAATCCAAGTCTACAGCGGTTAAGTGTTTCCTAAATTTAGAAAGACGTTTCAATGCCAACTTAGAGCTTCATGAAAATTATATTATATTTATGCGTGAGTACATAGATCTTCACCATATGTCTCCCATTTCCTATAATCCATCATTACTTGAGCATTATTATATTCCCCATCACGGAGTGTTTAAGGCCGACGACCACTCTAAAATTTGTGTTGTTTTTAATGGAAGTAGTCCAACCTCTAATGGTATTTCATTAAACCAGTGTTTACACACAGGTCCCAAGCTCCAACGAGATATCACTCATATCCTTCTTAATTTCCGTAGACATGCTGTGGTCTTTGTGACAGACATAAAAATGATGTTCCGGATGACCTGGGTGCACCCCAATGATCGTCGGTATCAGTTAATCTTGTGGCGTGAATCCCCATCTGCACCTCTTGTTACGTACGAGTTAGCTACAAATACTTACGGCCTACGGTCTAGTCCCTACATTTTCATTCGTACCCTTTTAGAGCTTGCTGAACGTGAGCGCTCATCATACCCACGAGCAGCTGCTGTTCTGGAAAATGATATTTATGTTGATGACTGCCTAACCAGAGCGAGTTCACTCGCTGAAGCTCAAATATTAAAAACAGAACTTCAGTCCCTAATGGCCTGTGGTGGTTATGAGTTGAGAAAATGGATTAGTAATGAACCCGAATTGCTCAAAGACATACCCCTCGAACATCTACAGGGTCCATATGAATTTCATGACTCAGATAACCCACCAACCATTCCTGTACTTGGTATTCAGTATAATCCGACTGCAGATTCCTTTACATGCAGTTTTTCTTTTAAGCCTCAGAAGTCCCTAACCAAGCGTACAGTTCTCTCCCTCATCGCTCGTATTTATGATCCATGTGGATGGATATCTCCAGTTGTATTTAAAGCCAAAGCATTTATACAACGTCTATGGATGTCGGGCCTCAACTGGGATGATCCTCTTAACCAATCCCTTTCTGATGAGTAGTTATTATTTGTACAAGACCTGGAGAATATCAAACAGCTGAGCATTCCTCGTCGGATATTGCCTGCGGATGCCACTTCCATTTCCTTACACGGCTTTTTTGATGCTTCGGAGGCTGGTTATGCAGCTGTTGTATACCTTGGGACTGAATCCTCTTCTGGCCATTGCTCTGTCCATCTCCTCATTTCTAAGAGTAAGATTGCCCCTATCCGTACTCGTCTCACAATTCCCAAGCTGGAATTGCAAGGAGCTGTGCTCCTCACAAAATAAAATTAATTCATCACGTTACCATCTGTCTACAGAAGGTAATCGTGTTGGATGCTATCCACAGTTGGACGGATAGCAAAATTGTGCTGGCATGGAAAAAGACTCCTCCTCACCTGCTTCAAACATTCGAAGCAAACCGCGTGTCTCAAATCACCTCTTCCGATTTCCCTTCCGAGTGGCATCATGTTCCTGGTTCTATTAACCTAGCGATTGCGCTTCCCGAGGTCTTAGCGCATCGTCTCTTCTTGACCATGATCTATGGTGGTCTCCTTCCTGGTTGACAGAATCCCTAATCATTGGCCTATTGGTGCAGACTTGACAAACAATCCTATTGATTCTTTACCTGGCCTTCGCTGTTTGTTAATTGAAATACCTACGCCAGCTATGGATCTCTCGTTTCTCCTCAACCGGTATAGTTCCTTAAATAAACTAGTCGGAGTGTTAGGCTTTATTCTGCGTTTTATTTATAATGTTAAAAAAATGTTAATTTACGTGTTATTAATCCTTACCTTTCTGTTGACGAACGACGTAATTATTTGTTGATGCTTATTAAAGCAACCCAGTTACATGCATTTTCTAACGAGATAGAATCCTTAAAATGCGGTAATGTTATTAAATCCCCTTTAAAACGGCTGTCGTGTTTCCTAGATGAAAACGGTTTAGTCAGAGTTGGCGGACGTATACGTAATTCTGAACTCCCATACGATGCTCGTCACCCATTACTTTTACCTAAGTCTGGCCCCCTTGTTAAATTAATAATTTCCCATTATCATATCGAAAATTCTCATGCTGGTCCTAATGCCTTACATGCTATCCTTTCCCGTGAATACTAGATATTATCGGCCCGACGTGCTATTCAAAACATAATATTTCATTGTCTCTCTTGTTATCGCCTTAAAGCATCCGTATCTCAACCCTCTATGGGTGATCTACCCAGGGACCGGGTTACTTCGGCTAGACCATTTTCTCGTGTTGGCACTGACTTTGCGGGCCCTTTCTATACTAAAGTACAATCCTATCGAAATAAGAAAATAGTAAAGAGTTATCTGTGTGTATTTGTTTGCCTGTCAACTAAAGCGGTACATTTAGAAGTGGTATCCGACCTTACGACTGAATCTTTCCTATCTACCTTTACCCGATTTGTTGCGCGTCGCGGATTACCTACCCTTATACGTTCGGATTGTGGACAAAATTATTTAGGAGCGAGTAACTATATTAGAGAGCTTAATTCATTCCTGTCCCAAAAGCATGATGATCTTGCTTCGCAAGTAGCCCGCAAGAATATAAATTGGGTATTTGACCCACCGGCCTGTCCTCACTGGGGAGGATTGTTTGAAGCAGCCATTAAGTCTGCCAAGACGCACCTTAAACGAGTAATTGGTAAATCCCCTTACCTTTGAGGAATTGACCACTGTATTTGCAAAAATTGAGTCTGTACTTAACTCTCGGCCTTTGTGTTCCTTATCTCAAGATCCCAATGATCTTGAAGTGTTAACCCCTGGTCACTTTCTCATTGGTCAACCCTTTACTGCATTACCCGAGTAGCCATTGAGAGACGAGAAGTAGCATCGCATTTCACGCTTTCATTTGTTGCAACAAATTACTCAACATTTTTGGTCGCGGTGGCGTTCAGAGTACCTGTCAACCCTTCAAACTCGTAATAAGTGGACTTCTCCTATGAATCCTCCTAATGTTGATGAATTGGTTTTGATAAAGGTTGACAACCTCCCTCCTTTGGAGTGGCGCCGCGGACGTATAGTACAGTTATTTCCTGGTCAAGACGGTGTAATTCGAGTGGTCGAGGTCAAAACCTCTACTGGTTCCTTAAAACGTTCTCTTACAAAACTGGTACGCCTCCCTATTGAATAATATATTGTATAGCCCCTTTACCTTGTAATTTTTCCCTTAATTTTGATAATTTGTCCCGTAAACATCATAGCTGTTTAGAGCGGGGGCTCTGTTCAAAATCTACCCTGTAACATCGTAAGCACATATTATTATATTAGAGTCCGTTAGTTTGTGTTCCCGCGCTTTGCCTTCCGCTCCCTCACCTAGTAACAAAGGGACCGTACAGCGGCCTTGACGCGCGCGCGCTATTGTTGTGAATTGAAATAAATTAATTAGAACTGGAAACCCTACTGTGAAAGTGTGTGAAAGCTAGCGAAGATATCTTCGAGACCCTGAAGCCCAAGAAATCCGCAGAACCATACAGGTACGCCAGACACACTAAATCCCCCTATATATTCCCTAACATTTTGGTAGCAGAGTAGTTTTCCAAACAATATTTTATATGCAAACATTACATATGCAAACCCTAAAGTCTTTTTTTTGGTGGGTAGGCAGTTAAAAAGCAACAAGTAAAATTTATATACTCTGTAAATTAATTTATTTAAAATAATAAAACCTTATAATTGTGTGTAAATATCATTTGAATTGAGTATAAATAGGCTTATGACATAATAGCTGCAATTGAAATACCTGCCAGTGGCCGCTAAAACATTTCTCACAATATCACTGTGTATCACACTTATACAATGGCAAGCATCTTTGATGTACTCAAAACACAGGCCGTCCTAGAGAAGACACTTGACGAGCGCCTCAACAGTTTCGAAGCACAGTTAAAGCACAGTTAAAGGCACAGCACCAGCTGGAGTTCCAGTGTTTTCGAGATCAGATCTACTCTTCAGTTACATTATTGCGGCAACATATTGGGATTCTCATAGCTGGATTGAATGCTATTGAGAATCATCATCGTAAGAAATTCTCTTTTTAAGCAGCATCAGTTCATATATATTGTCTGAATATCTGACACGCATGCGGCAGTCGCTGTTTGTTGAAGCTCGGAAACATTTCGGAATCCGTAAAGTCTGGACATTGGATGGAGTCATAAGCGTGAAACTTCCCGACGATAGTCGAGTTAAGATTTTCACGTTGGTGGAATTAGAAAAGCTGATTGCTGCAAGGAAGCCAGTAGAATCCCCTGTGACTACAGTTCCTGAAGCTACGAGTTCCGGTGGTAGATCCACTACCGCTGCTCCTAAGCAGCAGCGGTCCACAAGGGTGGCCAAGAAATGAATTAGTGTTTTACGTTTAAGTGCATTTTATATTGGTTTCTCTAATACGAAAGTTTAGAAGTAAATTCACGATACCAATTCTCTTCTTATTTTTCATTGTACTGTCTAAATAGTCACTACAATTATGTTTTTATATAATACCGTCTAATATTGTTATTGTTTTATTAACTGCACTTTTTACTTTTTAGTTACTGCTATTTCAACTGTCATACTGACGTTTCTCGTATTGACGTTGATTGACGTAACCACAGATTGATTAATATTGTGTCATTGATAGTCTGTCATTGTACTTTTTGTTATATTAATTGCGTTCCGTTTCATCAGATTTTATGTGTATGTTTAATGTCGTGTATTTATAAATTTGTTACAGCGTGCCGGCAGGTAAATAAATTGCAAGGCGTTTTTTGGTACTCATATATATCAGTAATTTTGTTTTTTTTAAGTATTTTAATAGTATTTATTTTAAGAATTAGGTATAAATATATATTATATATTATTTTTTAATATTAATTGATTTAAAAACGCAATGCTAACAGACGAAGACTCATTTCTTTCATGTGATAGTGATTCGTCATTTCTTTCTGCTGATTCATCTTTTAACGATAGCTATAGTATAAAAACTTTGTTATGTAGTAAGTTGGAATTTTTGAAATCTTTTTTTAATGTTTGCCACATAAATGCGCAGAGTGTACCGGCGCATTACACGGACTTATTAGACACGTTTTCTGAGCCTAACCTGCACGCCTTGCTCATTTCAGAAACATGGTTAAAACCTGCTTTACCCTCTACTACTTACCCTCTACCGGGTTATGTTTTAATCAGGAATGATCGCACGGGTAAGGGTGGTGGAGGCGTCGCGATTTACTTCCGTAGTAATATTAAATACAAAGTAATATTGTCTTCACCTTCTGAATACAGGGGCACAGCTGAAATGTTAATAGTAGAAGTTGACTTCAATGAGACGAAAGTTGCAGTCGGAGTTGTGTACTGTCCGCCCTCAACAGATTATTTCGTCGACCTTGATGATGCAATTGATTTTTTAAACGCGTCTTATAATCATATTATCGTCATGGGAGACTTTAACACTAACCTGTTGAGGGATACAACACAATCACGCAAACTCAGGTCAATCCTCGACACAGCGGATCTCTTTATCTTACCATTACGACCGACTCATCAGAACCCTGACACAGACGATTCCTGGCTGGATATTATTTGCACATCCTCCAAAGATTATGTCATTGACTATAATCAATACTCGGCACCGGCCTTTTCACGTCATGACCTTCTGCTTCTTTCTTATAGGATCAAACCTCTTAAACTTAAGCCGATCATTGCTAACGTACGTAATTTTAATAAAATTGATACCACCTTATTGAACCGCGATGCTACATTAATCGACTGGAAGCCACTGTTGAGTTCTACCGATATTAATGACAAAATTTCACTGTTTAATACACACATTTTACAGTTATTTGACAAACACGCTCCCGTCCGTGCTGTAAAATTGCGTCGCCCACCTGCACCGTGGATTACAGAAGATGTTCGTAAGGCAATGGCGAGAAGGGATAAGGCCTTTCGATCCTATAAGAAAGAAAGAAGTCCTGTCAGCTTTCAACTTTTTAAACGAGCTAGGAATCGCTGCAATCAGATGGTAAGAGTAGCAAAACGCCGACATATCCACAATAATATTTTAAATACTCCTTCAGCAGATGTATGGAAATTTTTGAACTCTCTTGGTTTTGGGAAAGCTCCAGCCGTCTCCAATTCAAATGTTCCACCAAATATTCTCAATAAACACTTCTCGTCTGTGACACCTCTCAATAGTACCACGAAAGAATCAACTTTACAGGAAATCAAATCCATGCCTGCACTTACTTCTACCTCATTCACATTTTCTCCAGTTACTGACGATGATATACGCAAAGCTATTTCTTCTATTAAATCTAATGCTAAAGGTCGAGACAATGTGAGTAGAACTATGATCCTTCTTTTATTAGACATTAGACACAATTCTCCCAATTCTTACTCACATTGTCAATTTCTCCCTATTTACTGGCTGCTTTCCGAATTTATGGCTAAAAGCATGCGTTATTCCACTTCCCAAAATCACTAATCCCACTCTTCCAAGTCATTATAGACCTATTTCAATATTACCATATCTCTCAAAAGTTCTTGAAATTATTACTCATAGACAAGTTTCGTCATTTATAGCTAACACTAACTTTCTTAGTCCCTTTCAGTCTGGTTTTCGTCCTGGACACAGTACTACCACTGCGTTACTTAATGTAACTGAAGACATTCGTGATGGCATGGAAAACACCCGTCTTACTATATTAGCACTAATAGACTTTTCTAATGCCTTTAACTGTGTCGACCATGATTTACTTTTGGAGCTACTTTCATATCTTAACTTCTCCCCGTCAGTACTGGAATGGTTCTCCGTCTTCGTGGTCGCAAGCAGGCCGTTCGTTCTGGACAAAATCTATCTGACTGGTGTGAATTGATTGCTGGCGTTCCACAAGGCGGTATTCTCTCTCCATTTTTATTTTCACTATTAATTAATCTCATCGTACCTCACCTCAGATGCTCTTACCATCTCTATGCAGATGATTTACAGCTTTATTCTCAAGCCGATCCCAATGGTATTTCTGCAGCTGTAGATCTACTGAATGCTGACCTTAACAATATATCCCGATGGTCTTATCGCTTCGGTTTATCAGTTAACCCTCAAAAATGCCAGGCTATAATTGTCGGTAGCTCTAAACTGCTATCCAAATTAAACACGGAAAATCTGTGTCTGCGTTTTGAGAACAATATTATTTCATTCTGTCCCCAGGTTAAGAATCTCGGCTTGATCATTGATCCAACACTTAGGTGGCATACGCAGGTGACCGAGGTGTGTCGTAGGGTTACAGGTATATTGCGTGTGTTATATCGCTTTAAATTCTTTCTCCCACCTTCGACTAAATTACTTCTAGTCCAATCCTTAATTCTTCCGCATTTCGACTATGCTGACGTGTGTCTTACTAACCTTTCGCAAGATCAGCTGAATAAGTTAGGGCGTCTGCTTAACAACTGTATTCGGTTCATCTTCGGACTACGGAAGTATGACCACGTTTCCAATTTTCGCTCACAACTTAAATGGTTGACCATCCGTAACCGCAGAGACTTCCGTATCCTATGCGCACTCTTCTCTATCATTAATGACCCTCTCTCTCCCACTTATTTGAAAAATAGATTTCAGTTTATCAGAGATTCCCATTCCCGTGATCTTCGCTCATCCCATAACCTCCTTCTCTCAACTCCCTCACATCTTTCAGGCTTTATGTCCAACTCATTTACAGTTACTGCGATTAGCCTTTGGAACCAATTACCTGTAGACCTACGTAAAACACGATCTAAACCACTTTATAAAAATAAATTATTTAAATACTTACTGAGTACTGAGAATCAGCAGAATTAGCTTTAACTATTGTGCATTGCGTTAGTTTTAGTATATTTATCTATATTTAACGTGTATGTACGTATTTATTATTTTATTAATTCAATATATATCTTACTTATTCATACATGTATATAATAATTTTGTTTACTGTATATTTATATAATATATATATGTATATATATATCTTGCATAGTTATTTATATGTATTAGCAAATTTAAAACAGCTCTCGCTAATACCCCATTACGCTTTCTGTTTATACCCTAAGGTTAGCTGGGAGAGAATGCCATACGGCATTAAGCTTGCCTGTTGTACAAATTTTTTTTTTTGTTCAATAAAGAATAAATAAATAAATGGCCAGTAGTTTTGAAGAAATAAGTTTTTGAAATTGTATGTGTAACTTATACATATACCAGTTTTTTCACAAGAAGGAACAAAAGTAGAATGGCCTAGTTAGGAGTGTACCTGTGTACCGTGGTAAGTCCACACAGACACCCCGGGCTCGATTCCCACCATTGACTATTATTATTTATTTTTTTTTGTTTTTTTTTTTTTTATTATTTTAATAATTAAATTAATTTATACGAGAAAAACGTAGTTAAGTATTAAATTAATTTTAAGTGACATTAACTATTATATTATACATAAAAAATATTAATAATAAAGAAAATACATTTGAAATGTTTTACTTGTTGTGTTAATTATTTATAAGATCCTACTATAATTGTTAGCTGCTTTACAATTTAGAAAGTATAATAGTTAATGTAAATTTAAATTAATGTAATACTTAACAACTTTTTGTTCGATTAAATTAATTTAATTATTAAAATAGTTAATTTAAAATATAGAATAAAGATAAAACAAAAAAAATAACAATAAAAAAAAGTCGATTGCCGGAATCGAACCTTGAGTGTCCGTTTGGTAAGTTGATTTGAAATTCAAATGCTTATTTCTTCGACATTACTGGCCATTTTGAAATAATACTTAGGGTTCGCATACCCTTATCGGATACTACTACTACACGGAGTCTCGTCAAAATAAAATATCTAGATTAGGTATTAATATATATAGTATAATTCATAATTAATAGACCGTTACGGTATCTGTATATATTCGGATCAACACAAGTAATTGATTTTTGAAATATATTCAGAGCCAAAAAGTCTTCTTTCTTTATTTATGTATTGGTTAGATGCGACAGCGACTTTGTTTTATACTACAACTACTACTATGTAATGATTGATATACCTAAAATAAATTATATATCTGATGTTTGGACTAAAACTCAAAATTTATTTTGAAAATACTTTTTTTGCTTTTATTTTTATAGTACTTTAAGTGTTATATTTTAAGTAACAATGTTTCATTATTTTTTAGTTCAATTAGTGGTCTACCTAAGTATTGGGCTAAGGGGGGAGGAGAGTCATGACCTCCCATGACTCCCAAGACCTCCATGACGCTCCCCCCTGGATCCGCCGTTGCGTCTTCTCTTCATTCGCTCAGTAACTGTTAGATATGCGTAGTGAAGACAAGTGAAACGTACACGGGTTCGTATCGCACTGCTTTATTATAAGACAGCTTGATGGTGGGCGCAGCCACACAGGTGTACCAACATACCTAACATCCCTCCCCTTATTACAAAACCCATAAAAAAAACAAAAACAATATTAAGAAAATCAAAGTTTTAACAATAGTTGTACATTTTGTAATTATTGTGGAACTAGTTCAACTAACTCAAGATATATATATATATTAATAAGCCGTTCATGGTTTGACCGTCAGGGTATTTAATATTCATCATATATTTTCCGCTTCCTGAAAGTCATCATTATCTGACTGTGTTCCCAACCTATCATTCACTGCAGAGTCTTCTGAATGCGCCGAATCATTTGGTTCATAAATTTCTGCTCTTCTCTCTCGGGCCCGGCAACTCCAGTCTGGCGACTCGTACGATAATGCCAATTGTTCCGGGTGCAATAAGGTAGGTGATAACGGATCGGAACCCGTTGCTTGCGGTGACACGGGGACAGGCGTTGACGGCAGCGATGACGTCATTGCAGGTGGAGGAGACGACTGGTGCAGCGTCAATCGGGGCCGCGGCAGTGACGACGGCGGCAACGGCAGAGGACTAGGTAAGTACGTACTTCCATCTGTACTTTGCTCATGGTTGTTACTACTCCCGTTATATAATAACAATTGATTTTTGTGTCTTTTGACACATTCTAGGCTATATGTATCTTGTATTATATACAACACTTTACCCAATCGTTTAACTATTATGCCCTTACACCATGTATAACAATTTTTATTTGTATATTTTTTATATATCACACTATCATTTTTGTTAAAATCCCTCGTTTTAGTTTTCGCGTGTAACTTAATTTGCGTACACTGTTTATTTTGTACATGATTAGATACGGTCGGTGACGAGGGTGATGATGATGTTGGATTAATCAAATCTAGTCGCGATCTTAACTTACGGCCAAATACCATTTGAGCGGGCGATAAACCCGTTGTGGTGTGTACGGAGTTATGGTAATCCATGAGATATTTTAGTAATTTAATCTTTGTTTCTCTTACATTACAACGTGACAAAAGACATGATTTAATTCCCTTTTTCACTACTTTGACGAAGCTTTCAGCTTGCCCATTGCTCGCAGGGTGGTATACCGATGTGACGTGTGATATTCCGTTGGAAATACAAAAGCTTTCAAAGTCGTGAGAACAAAAAGCAGTACCGTTATCACTCGCTAGCGTTTTTGGTACTCCATACCTCGACATAAAATCGCATAATTTTTCGATCACTGCGCCGGACGTCGTATTAGTATTCATATTGTACACTTCAACCCATTTCGTGTGGGCGTCTACTACTACTAAATACGTACAACCTTTTATTGGACCTAAATAGTCGATGTGTATCCTATCAAAAGGCGAAAATGGATATTCCCAGCAGGAGGGGGGTGCGCGCGGGGGGGACGGCCGTAACTGAATGCATATATCGCATGATCCTATCATTCTTTCCAATACTTGATCGATTCCTGGAAACCAAAATCGTGACCGCGCTTCGGCCTTAGTTTTGACTATACCTAAATGAGAAGAATGCAATTCATTTAAAATAATCGTGTATAAACTCTCCGGAATGACGACCTTATGACCTCTCATAATACAGCCATTTTCTAACGATAATTGTAATCTACAAAGGTGAAACGGTTTGAGACGTATATCATTAATTTTAGCTGGCCATCCATTTTGTATATATTTTAATACTCGATTCAAAATTGCATCTTTCATAGTCTCGTCTCGCAACTTAGACAGAGTTATTGGTATACTGCCGTCCGTAGTAAAACAAATATACGTCGCCTTATCGCATGTTAACTCGTCGCATTCGTTAGAGATACACTGTTCGGTGCACGCGCACTTAATATTACTAGGCGCGGACGACAGAGGCGGGAGCACCGGCGGGTGGGGGACGGGGCCAGGTACGGTCGCCCGAGACAGGTAGTCTGCGCTGTTATCAGCGCTACGTATATATTCTATAATATAACAATAACCACTAAGAAACAACGCATACCGTTGCAACCTGTTCGCTGTTACTTCCGGTATGCCTTTGTATGGTCCAAATATCGAAATTAAGGGCTTATGATCCGTTCTTATTATAAACGATACAGATCTACCATATAAATATTGATGGTAACGCCGCACACCGAAGATAATGGCCGTTGCCTCCTTTTGGGTTTGTGCGTATCGTTTCTCGGCGGCGTTTAGAGTGCGCAACGCAAATGAAATAGGTCTTTCGATCCCGTCCGCTGCAATTTGTGACAGAATTGCTCCTAAGCCACTGGGTGACACATCTACCGTTAATATCAATTTTGCGTGTGGATCGAAGTGCGCTAGAGTTTGTTCTGACGTCAGTGACTTTTTTATTGATTTAAATGCGATGTCATGTTGTATGGTCCAGTCCCATTTACAACCCTCTTTTAATAGTGCATATAAGGGGTTAAGTATACTTGATGCATTAGGTACAAAATTCCTATAGTAGTTAATAAGCCCCAAAAATGACTGTAGTTGGTTAACATTAGTGGGAACTGGAGCCTCCACCATAGCTTTAATTTTATCTGGTGACTTTTTAAGGCCATCCTTGGTAATTATGTAGCCAAGGTATTGGATTTCGTCCATAAAAAATTGACACTTTTCTTTCTGTAACGTTAATCCTACATTTTGCAGGCGTTCTAGGACCGTATTTAAATTATTTAAATGCTCTGCCCTGTCCTTTCCCGTTATGAGAATGTCATCGAGCATAGAGATGACTCCGTCCATGCCTGCCAGCACCCCTTCGATTGCACGTTGGAAAATAGCCGGCGCGCTTGCTAAACCGAATACCAGGCGAGTATATTTATATAGGCCGCGGTGTGTATTGATACACGTTAAGCTTTGTGAGTCATCATCAACAAAAACTGATTGTAGGCCATAGATAAATCTAATTTTGTGAACTGTACTCCACCATGCAGCTTTGAAAATAATTCACTGATGGTAGGAAGAGGGTACTGTTCCACTAATAACTGTTTATTAAGACTTACCGAGTAGTCCACACATAATCTAACTGAACCATTTCGCTTTAAGACGGGTACTATAGGTGAAGCATACTCGCTATATTCTACAGGTACTAGAATACCTAAATTGACTAACCTATCAATTTCCTCCCCTATTTTGTCTCGTAATGCAAAAGCTATGGGACGAGACTTAAAAAATATAGGGTTAGAACCGTCTTTCAGCAATAACTTAATTTTGTATTTATTAAATGTACCTAAGCTGTCCGAAAATAGCTTGGGGTATTGTTGTTGCAACTGATTAACGGATAAATCTATTTTGTTACAAAAATTTACTGGGCTCAACTCTAATTTAAATAGGGATATAAAATCTCTGCCTAACAGCGGTGGACCACCATCCCGTACCACGTGCACGTCCAGTTCGTGTGTTTGAGTTTTATAATTTACTGGTAACCGTAATATTCCTAAACATA